TAATCTGCTTTCATCATTGTCAGCTCCAGCACCTAGAACAGCGTCTAACAATATACTGCAGGAGTAAATAGTTTTGAATTTCTCTAGGTCCAGGAGAAAACACATTATCTAATACAGGTTTCCACCCCCACCCTCACTCCATCCCCATTCGAAAGTAAAGCCTACCTATGAAACATTTGTAAGCCATTACGGCTTAAAGCAGTGTTTCCCAAAATTGGGCACATGCCCCACAGGGGGGCAATTTGATTTTTAAGGGGGGGGCAATTGAGAATGAGTTATTAACAGTGATTTTTTTGCATTTCTTATGGTTCTAGGGGCCTCATATACAGTATATAAATATATATTGTGACATATTTATGCATCAGTTCTCTATTATGTTTTGAAACTTTATTTGCTATATTTTTATATCACTTCATATTATTATTATTTTTTTTAATATAGTTTATTGATTTTTCACAGAGAGGAAGGGAGAGGGATAGAGAGTTGGAAACATCGATGAGAGAGAAACATTGATCAGCTGCCTCCTGCACACCCCTTACTGGGGATGTGCCCAAAACCAAGGTACATGCCCTTAGCCGGAATTGAACCTGGGACCTTTCAGTCCGCAGGCCGATGCTCCATCCACTGAGCCAAACCGGTTAGGGCATATTATTATTATTTTTTACAATTTCTTAGTGATTTCTCCTCAGTACTTCAATTGTCCTTTCGTTCTTTTATTTATCTCTTTCATGGATGCCACGTTTTTTGGAAGCTTGTTTAGACCAAGTTAATGGCCTTTTAGGCTTCCTCCACGTGAATAGGGGTTCACTTTTTGAATAATAAGAATTATATGTCACGAGGGAGGGGGAGGATTAGGATTTTAGAGAGGCTTAGGTGGGGCATGGCTAAAAAAAGGTTGGGAACCACTAGCTTAAAGCAAAGAAGCAATTACCATTAGTTTATATGCTGGTGCTGAGTGTAGCTCCCAGGGAAGGAGCTCTTGGGTGCCACTCTTGCTGCTTGGGATATGTAATGCCTCTATAACAGCTTGCTGCAAAACAAATGAAAGCTGTTTTCACTTTTGTCATAGAAGTGAAATCCTTTTTGAGTTCATTTCTGTTAGTGAAAACAGGTACTACTGTAGGTCTTTTGTAAAAGCGAAAAGGAGTAAGGTGAACGAACTTTTGAGAAGTGGGGATACCTTGTATGTCTGAAGGACATCTATTGCATCCAATAAGGGTATTGGCCAAAGCAGAACTCTTGATTTCCCTAGAAAACTGTTCTCCAAATTTTTAGTGTTTAAAAGACTAATACTGTCTTTCATGAAAGAGTTCAGGCCCCAGACCAGGGACTCATCTTGAGCTCTCTTTTTTCTCAATTATCCAGTCTATTAGCAAATTTTGAGGGCTCTGCCTTCAAAAAATTCAGAATCTTGCCAATTCTTACCATCTCCACTGCTTTGGTTCTAAAGCAAGCAACTATCACCTTTCTCCTGGTTCACTGCAAAATGCCATAACCTAACTCATCTCTGGGCTTCTCTACTTGGTGCTCAGGGTCCGTTCTCTGCCCAACAGTCCAAAAGATCTTCTCAGACATAAATCAAATCCCTTAGTTAAAGGGATATAAATTAGTTCCTTTATCTAAAGCCCTCTAGTGCCTCCTAATCTGAATAAAGTCCATATTCCTTACTCACTCTGGCTTCACTGGTTTTGTCCTTGCCCATCTCCTCAAACCTCATCTCCTACCATTCTTGTCCTTTGACCATGAACTAGCCATATTGATCTTTCTTCAGTCCCTAAAACACTTTAAGTTATTCACTTTACAGGGCTCTACACTTGCTGTTTCTTTCACCTAGAAATCCCCTTGTGTGGTTGACTTCTCATCACTTAAATACCACTTCCTCAAAAAAAAAAAAAAAAAATCTTCCTTGACCATCCCAGCAAAAGTTACCCCTTTCGTGCATTTCCTCATTGCCCTATTATATTTTTATTGCATTTTTTCATGATGTGAAAACATATTATTTAATCCTTATTTTTTTGCCTGTGATCTCCTCCCCTTTTCTGCATCTTTCTTACCAAACCCTTTTGGGAATGTTAACTTCATAAGGAAAAGTTTTTGTTTGGCTCAGCATTGAATCTTTAGTGCCCAAAACAGTGCCTGATATACAGAAGGAGTTCATTAATCTTAGCTGAACCAGTACATTTAACTTTATCCCTCAGTGCCTACCACATAATAAACTGAATAAACATTTGTTGTAATTGCTTGATGGTGGGAAAGCATAGGTTTTTCTTAAGCCCTCTTCTCTAAACCATAAGCATGAGAATTGAGTCTAAGACTTGCTTTCTAATGGCTTATTAGCTAATTAATATGACTCTTGGCTATGTACACAGCCTGACGTTATTGTTCAGAGAGTGCTATTCAAAATTCAAGTTTGGACACTGACATGGAGAAATAATAAAATTCTACCACCTAACCTCCTTCCCTCTTCAAAACACATTCTTCCCTTTATTCCAATGATTTCCATATTTTCTTAGTATCAATCTCTCCCAGGTTCCTCAATAAATTCCCCTCTCTATTCCTTTATATTATTCTTATAACTTTGTATATTATTCTTGGGATCATGGTTAGTAGGTACTCAAAAAATGAAGGTTTGTATTTTATCTTTTTAATGCAGCTCCCAAGTCCAAAGCAATAATATTAACTTTGGGAGCATCCTGGCAACTTTGGCATATTTTTCTGGTGTTGAAGAAAACTCAATTAAGTAGCAATTGCTGCGTAACAAATTACTCCAAAACTTAGTGGCTGAAACTCTCAAAGCTTCTCCAAATCAGACATTCAAGAGCAGTTCAGTTGTGTGTTTTGGTTTGAAGTCTCTTAGGAGGTTGCAGTCAGCTGACAACTATTCTGGTACTGGAAGATCTGTTCCCAAGGAGACTCACTCACATACTGGCAAACTGGTGCTGCCCACTTGGCTCCAATCCAAGAAGGCTTCTCCACAAGCTTTCTTTAGTGCCTCACAACATGGCCGTTGGCTTATCCCAGAGCAAGTGATCCAAGAGAGATCAAGGCAGAAGCTGTAATGTCTTTATAAACTAGCCTCAGAGGTCACACTTATTATATCTGCCATATTCTATTAGTCACAAAGGCAAGTCCGGATTCAATGTAGGAAGGTACTCTACGAAGACCTGAATACCAGCAGGTGAGGTCATTTGAGGGCCATCCTGGAAGCTAGTTGCTACAGACAGGTTGTCAGCAGCAAACTTTTAATTTACAAGAAACAATATGCAATAAAAAGTGGTTTAAATAATAAGGACACTTTCTATTTCATCTAATAGGAAGTCTACATATAGGACAATCCTAGGGTTAATTCTTGGCCTTCATAATCTCTTTCAAGACTAAGATCTCACCATCTTTTCACTGACACTTTTGGCATCCTGGAGATGTCTTCTGTCAGGGTCATAGGTTGGATGCAGAGGTTTCAGGGGTCATATGTAAATAGGACCACATCCACTGAAAAAGAAAGGATGTTAGTTCTGTGAGTCAATTTTATTATGAGAGATAATATGTCCTGCTGTAGATATCTCAGATCCTATTGGCCAGAATTGGGTAACATAGTCATGCATAACAAACACATTATATTGTGAATCCAGATGTTTGCAAACATTAATGTTCTGTAAGTGCACACCTCATTTTTCAGCCAGAAAAAGAAAATTATGGTACCCACAGAAACTCAAACTTAAAAAAAAATATGAATAGTTTTACATGTTAGTATAAACATATTCAATTCTGTCAGGACTGTAGAACTTCCCAGACTACCACTATTCTGGTTCTCTTATCTCCTCCCCAAATAAAGGGGAAAGGCATGGTTTGAATAACTACCTTTTGTGGTATTCAGCCATGGACCTTTTCATGTGACCCTGGAATGGTCCATTTTGCGAGATGTGGAATGTACTAATGCATGTGAACAAAACAGTGTCAGAAAAATGAAGAATTTATTGACTATGGTTCTTTCACGGAGTAAACTGACACCTGCTTTTAAGCAGTAAGTGGCTTGGAAAGTGAAATGTGAAAACAAAATCACAGATGTAAATTCTTACATATGTGCTTAGAGGTTAAGAATTTGCCAAGATTATACTAAGAATCGAGAATTAAGCTAGAAAACAAGATGTGTGTATACTTAAGACTCATGTGTTTTATTGAATAGTATCCTATGCACCATTCTTTTGGAAAATTAAATTTTTTTTCAAACTCTTACCCCAAATAAGGTAACTCAAAAACCCTTTATTTTTACGCTTCTTGTTAGTGGTGTCTTTTCTTGCCCAAAGAAATGACAGCGACTGAATGATGTGTTCTTTTCAAAATACTCTTACGATACAATGGACTTACTTCCTGGTTTTCACTTTCCCGACCTTTCTTTACCCAAGGCTGAAATAGGAATTTATTAACCTAACATACCTGCAATTCTGGTTCTTAGATGGAAAGCTTTTTAATATCTGGGATTGGTTCCGGGATCCTTACTCAGGTAAAACTCCCACAGTTTTTGGTTGAAATCTTTGGCACCTGGTGTCTGTTTAAGACACCTGCGTCCAATTCCAAGTCACTTCGTTGTGGGACACCTGGTGCTAATGCCACTGTCCAGCCCCTCTCCCACGCCAGCGACACGCACCGGAAATGACAGTCCAGAACCAACCCATCCTGAAACTGTTAAATGTTGTTTTCTTTCTTTTTAAAAAAATATATTTTTATTGATTTCAGAGAGGAAGGGAGAAGGAGAGAGAGATAGAACCATCAGTGATGAGAATCATTGCTTGGCTGCCTCCTGCACGCCCCTCACTGGGGATGGAGCCTGCAACCTGGGCATGTGCCCTTCACCAGAACGGAACCGGGGACCCTTCAGTCCGCAGGCCAAGGCTCTATCCACTGAGCAAACCGCTAGGGCTAGATGGGTTTTTCTTGAGGGAACCACGTGCATAGCACACCCCGTTTGAGTGACGTATTGGCATTGTGCAGCCATTTGTCACCCTGGGTGGATGAAGTCAACTCCCCAAAGTTGCTGTCTCAGGAACACATTATATCCGTGGCTGGACACACTAAGTGAGGGGTGTTTACAGGATAGGGAAGAGAAGGTGTTTATTTTCCTGGTGGTTCAGGGGGGTAAGTAAAACAAACACACCAAACTGGGCCGGGCACAGGCTTTGTTTGAACCACAGAGCAGTGCGTTCAGGGAGTGGAAGACACAGCGTCTCTCCGAGACGTCTATCTAGTCTAGCCCCTTTGTCTACATCCGCCGGGGGCCGTGGCGGTGCCCCAGTCAGGCTATCGGAGGCAGCGGGGCCCAGGGAATGGCAACGCCCAAGAGGCGAGGGCGGAGGCGCCGACGCCGCTCCTTTCCTCTCAGGATGCCAGCAGCTCCTCGCGGGGTCGGGGGGCAAGGCCGCGGGGCAGCCGCAGCTCCAGGGAGGGGCGCGAAGGAAGCGAGGGCAGCGGGTCCAGGGACAAGCGCGGAGCGGCGCCAGCCCGGGGTCTGCAGCGGGCGGGGCATGCGCAGTGTACCTGGGTGGGGGTGGGGACCCGACCCGGCTTTCTGAGGGGAGGGGCCGGGGGGGGAGTGAGGGGGTGGGCGGGGCCTCCGGCGCGCAGCCCCTAGGTGTCCGGAAATTTGCTCCGGGCCCACGTGACCGTGATTCACCAAGCACCGCCCCTCGAGCCCGGGAGAGGAGTGGACGAAGCGGGAAGAGGCCGCGGAGAACGGGGGGAGAGAGTGTGTGTGTGTGTGTGTGGTGGGGGGACCGAGAGAGGAGTGGGGGGAGGGAAGCGAGACCGGAGAGAAGAGGGGGTGGCGGGAAACGAGGCGAGCGGAAGCGCGGGCCTTCCGCTCAGCCCCGCGGCGAGGGAGCGAGGCGCCTGGGAGCGTCCCCGTCGTCTAGCCTCCGCCCGCTGGGAGGCTGCCAAGTGCGCGCCGGCTACCCGCCCGCGACGCGGAAAACCTCGAGAGCCCCAAAACGTCAGGGCGAACTCCGGGGTGCTTTGAGGAAAGCCGCACCGGGGCCTCGAGGGCCCGGGAGTTTTCGCGGCCGCGCCGCGCCGCTGGGGATGCCCGGCTCGGGAGCGTGCGGCCTGGGCACCGAGCACGCCCTGCTGGCACCGGTCCGTGCCCGTGGACGTGGCTCCTTACGTGGAGAACGGCGACTGTGGGGAGCGAGCGCCGGAGGGAGGGACCCGAGGGCGAGGCCTGGGCCGGCGTCTGTGCCCGAAGGCACCAGCATCCGCCCGCTGCCCGCCCCGACCCCGGAGGAAGGCCTCGAGGTGTGCGGTGCAGATGGCTCCCCGTTAGGGTAGCGGAAAGCCCAAGATGTCCGTCCTCTTCTGTGTTGGGAAGATAAGACACAAACACCCCACCCGCATCTGCTCTTGTCAAGAATCGTTTGTTACCGTCGTCTGTTGACCACCCCGAGTCCTTCTACGTTCTTTCTAGCAACAGTGTCCTTTTCCTCAGGTCATTCCACCAAAGTCTTTGGGTGCAAATTCAAAAACACAACCGAACACGAGCCTGAGTGAGCAAGTGCAGGTCTTTCTGTCTTTGTGGGTTTGCTTCCCAGGCCCTTCTCCCTCATTCCCACCCGGAGGCCAAGTCTCGTGCAGGGAATGCGGCCGAACCTGCCGGAGGCCCCGCATCTTCCAGGGTTCACCTCGGACTGGAAGCATTTGTGTTGTTTTCCCCTGGGCTTCTGCAGGGAGGGTTAGTGTAATGAATAAGAATAGCTCGTGTTGTTTATAAACACATTGACTATTCAGGGGTGACCACCTGTGTGAGGTGGGGGCTGGTGTTCCGTCGTCTCTCTCACCGTATTTCTTCCAGGTAGGAAATCGAAGCCAGGACCAGTTAGATAAAGCCCAAGGCCACCCCGCCTGCAAGTGCAGGAAGTGGAGTTTGAACCCAGATTGTCCAAGGTAAACCCCATGCTAGGATCACGATGCTATCGAAATTCCCCATTAACAAACGTCATTGCATTGGAATAGTAAAGTTACATTTTGGTGGGATTCTTTTTTTATTTACTTAGCCTTCCTGAAATTTATTTTGGGGAGATGTCTAAATTTAGTTTGGATAGGAAACCACGCACGATTTGAAAAAGAAACTCCTGTGATAAAATCATGCATTCCAAACTAGTATGACATTTTTCTTGTCTGTAAGATTATTGAAATATTTGCCCTAGGAACTTAATTTTTTCAGGAGAAATTTTTGTGGTCATATTCCTTTAGCCCCTAGTGTACAATGAACCCTCCAGGGAAATGACAGCGAGGCTCTTCATTTGTCAGTGTTCAATAACTATATATTGGCCCTAGCCGGTTTGGCTCAGTGGATAGAGTGTCGGCCTGCGGACTAAAGGGTCCCGGGTTCGATTCTGGCCAAGGACACATGCCTGGGTTGCGGGCTCGATCCCGGGTAGGGAGCGTGCAGGAGGAGGCTGATCGGTGATTCTCTCTAATCATTGATGTTTCTATTCCTCTATCCCTCTCTCTTCCTCTCTAAAAACCAATAATGTATGTATATATATATATATATATATACTGAAATGTACCCAGAAGTGAACACCTTGAAAATGTCTATGACATGATGCAAAGGGAGTTTGGAAAAGAAACATAAATATTGGATAGATTCAGTAGGCAGACACTATGTTTTTTCTTTCTTTCTGAAACCTTTTCTGCCCTTGAAACCGTTTCCCAGCTCTCCAAGACTGGGTTAGAAGCCTCTTCTATGGCATCTGAGTCTGCTTCTGTGGGGGACTCATCACACTGTATTCTCATTGCTTGTTCACCTGGCTCTACCCCCAGGAGATTCTTAAATTTCTTGAAGAGCAGGCATTCTGTCCTGTTCAATAGTATGTCCCCAAAGCTCAGCATAGTTGTTTGTCCTAAAATAGGAGCTCAGCAATACTGTGTGGTTAAAAGGATGAGTTTATTGGTCAGCCTTATCTTGTTAGGATGTACTGAATTGGGATTTAACAGAAACCATGAGACTAGCCAGAGGTCTGAGATATATATTTTGTTTTAGTGTGTATATATTCTGTTGCCCATTTGTTATTTTGCACATAATTTTTTGATGTTTATTAAATAAGAGCAAAAACAACCTGAAAAATTTTGTGCTGGTTAGCTAACTTTATTTCAGCACTCAATTTCAGAGTCTTAGCCACAGCGTTAATCCTGACTTCACAGTTTTGGGACTTCAGAATGATAGGATCATGGGATTTTTTTTTTTTACTGCCAAAGGAAACCTTATAACTGCTCTGTCCAATACATAACTACTAGACATGTGAAGCTATTGAAATTAGTAAAAATTAAATAAAAAACGAAATTCCTTAATAGCATTAGTTACTTTTCAAATGCCCAATAGCCACATGTGACTAGTAGCTACTCTATTGGACAGCACTGACATAGACATTTCTATTATTGCAGAAAGTTCTATTCTACAAAGCTGATAAGTAACTAAAAAAAGGTAAGAGGGCATAGTTTTAAATATGTTTTTTAAAAATTGATTTCAGAGAAAGAAAGGGAGATGGAGAGAAACATCAACATGAGAATAAAACATCAATCAGCTGCCTCTTGCACATCCCCTACTGGAGATCGAGCCTGAAATCCAGGCCTGTGCCCTGATGGGGATTCCAACTGTGACCTCCTGGTTCATGGGTCCATGCCAACCACTGAGCACACCAGCTGGGTGATGGCATAGTTTTATTAGCTTAAATATATTACTACTAGTGGCCCGGGGCACGAAATTTGTGCACTGGGGGGGTGGGGGGGTGGTCCCTGTGGGATCGGGCCTAAACCAGCAGTCGGACATCCCTCTCGCAATCCGGGATCACTGGCTCCTAACCACTCACCTGCCCGCCTGCCTGATTGCCCCTAACCACTCTGCCTACTGGCCTAATGGCCCCCAACTGCCCCCCTTCTGTCTTGATCACTCCTAGCTGCCCCCCCTCTGCTGGCCTGATTGCCCCCAACTGCCCCCCCTTGCTGGGCTGCTTTCCCCCAACTGACCCCCCCTGCCGACCTGCTTGCCCCCAACTGGCCCCCACTGCCATCCTGCTTGCCCCCAACTGCCCCTCCCTGCTGGCCTGTTCACTCCCAAATGCCCCCCCTTCCCCGCTGGCCTGATCACCCCCAACTGCCCTCCCCTTCTGGCCTGATCGCCCTTAACTGCCTCTGCCTAGGCCCTGCCACCGTGGCTTTGTCTGGAAGGATGTCTGGAAGGTCTCCCAGTCTAATTAGCATATTACCCTTTTATTAGTATAGACTAGGGGCCCAGTGCACAAAATTTGTGCACTGGGTGTGTGTGTGTGTGGGGGCGGGGGGAGTGTCCCTCAGCCCAGCCTGCCCCATCTCACATACTGGGAGCCCTCAGGCGTTGACCCCCATCACCCTCCAATCGCAGGATCGGCCCCTTGCCCAGGCCTGACGCCTCTGACAGAGGCGTCAGGCCTGGGCAGGGGACCCTCATTTCCCCCGTCACTGGTTCTGCCCCCAGCCCAGGCCTGATGCCTCTGGCCCAGGCATCAGGCCTGGGCAGGGGACCCCCAGACCCCTCCGATTGCTGGCTCTGCCCCTTGTCCAGGCCTGATGCCTCGGCCAGAGGCGTAGACCCCCATCACCCTCCGATTGCCTGATCGGCCCCTTGCCCAGGCCTGACGCCTCCGCCAGAGGTGTCAGGCTTGGACAGGGGACCCCCATCTCCCCCCGATCACTGGCTCTGGCCCCCGCCCAGGCCTGAGGCCTCTGGCCCAGGAATCATGCCTGGGCAGGGGACCCCCATCTCCCTCTGATCGCTTACTCCACCCCCCGCCCAAGCCTGACGCCTCTGACCCAGGCTTCAGGCCTGGGCAAGGGGACCATCATATCCCCCCAATCCCCGGCTCCGCCCCCCACCCAGGCCTGATGCCTCGGCCAGAGGAGTTGACCCTCATCACCCTCCGATCACCAATCACCGGATCGGCCCCTTGACCAGGCCTGAGGCCTCCGGCAGAGGTGTCAGGCCTGGGCAGGGGACCCCCAGGTGCAGTGCCCTGCGATCCTGGGCTCCGCTTTAGGCCCAGGCAAGGGACCCCCAGCTCCCGGGACTGCCAGCTTCGACCGTGCCCAGCTCCCATCGCTGGCTCCAC